AACACAAATTCTTAATTGTGGCAGCTGAACAAGCCTGAACAAACTTTTCGTAAAATATCACAGTTCATGTTAAATTATGAATCATTGCATCTTCTAGAAACTATTTAATAGGATGATAAACGTAAATCGATAGCTGTGCTAATTTAAATTGTAGAAATTGTATAACAAAATATTAATTACCATGCTAATCCAGCAGGTTTAATCTCCGAAAAGGGATTATTCAAGGGAAAGTTTATAGGGAAAAATTCTTGTGAATACATTCAAATCAAATAGTGCTGTGCGGGTTACCACATAAATGGAAAAGAGCAGTTATAAAATGTAAAAAACTTCTGAAATTTCATGCTCGTCTAAATAATAATTTTAACTTGTCTAACATCGGTTCGATTTAGATTTAAATAGAAAAGAACCGAACCGTTATCGTCAATAAGTTCAGTTCTAATAATATTACACATAGACTTAAATAATGATATATAGATAATTTTTTTATACTTAATGCATTTTATTGAGTTTCTTTTAGTGTTTCTCTGGAACACCATCTGTGAACTAGTTTAGTAATCTCTCTTAACATGAAGATGCCACAAGTACATACAAAACGGAAAGAGCGACACTGGAAGTTTTATCGTGGGTCTAGATAATTATTTGGCACTTGTTATAATATGTATACAAAATTGATTTTATAAAATGAGATGGTTGGTGATTCAAGGCTTTTTTCTTTCTACCTTTGATCTATAAATTTCAAAAGAAGGAGGGCCATAACTAACATTTGCACTCACGTGGGTCTTAAAAACCTCCAAATACTTTAATTGTGGTTATTTAAGGAAATCGGCTGTTCTTAAAAAGGTATTTCAATTGATCAAAAAAATCTTATACAACCCCCAAGGCGGAGCGTAGACTACAAAACGGATTCCGTCTAATCTGAGCGAGAGCACGTCAACTTGAGTTTTCTCAATATTCCAAAGTTCATCGGAGCAAACGGAGGAACGCTCGGATTTGAACCGGGAAACGAGCGATGCAATTATTTTCTCAGCTCAAGCGCCCCGGGCGGCGGAGAGGAACAATTTAAGAAGCAGTAGCGCACGACTCATTAGATACGGGGACTATTGGAGATGTGAGCGCATTACGTACACGAGGAAAATATGGGATACCCTAATTGCTAACGAAAAGTATTAAAGCTACGAAATACTTGCAAACGTTTACGGTCGGTCGATATTATACGGGTTTTTTTATTTATGTTAAAGGTTGTCAAGCGAGCAGGCGGTTCACCTGATGTTGAGTGAATACCGCCGTCCATGGGCATTTGCTACACCCGAGGGTATGCAGATGCGTTGACAAGCTTTTTGAAGATTGGGCTCCGGCTACCTCACTCAACAGACGAAGCGCGATAGGATTATACTTTCACTTCACGCCGGTCTTCGGTGAGGTCGTGGTACTTACCAGGACGAGGCTGCCCATTCGTGCAATAGGCTGCTGCATGGGCCTTACACGAACGAATACAAACGGATGCACTAATCACACCCTGAGGACAGCACATTCTACTGTGGTAGGTCCTCGGCTTTTACGAGTGGTCAGGCTCATCCATACTTTCACTTTTCGTTTGGTGAGTAAAGTAACCGGAGCCCACTTTTTTAAGGGTTTGATGTTTTATACGCATTTGCAAAGCGTCACATGTTTAGGACGCCCATAGGCGGCGGTAATCACTGTACATCAGGTGGGCCGCCTGTCCGCTTGCCAACTTTTTACATAAAAGAGCTGGGTATGATACCCTTCGGTTTCCATGAATTTTATATACTTATTTCGCCTACGTTTTACTTGTACGTTTTGCTAGAAGTTGATTACAAGCTCGAACATTTTCCAACCACAAGTCGCAAGGCTACTAAGATTCGCTTACAATTATTAACTATTATTTTTTAGGCGACATGTGGTAATTGTGACAAAATCAAATTAAATTAATGTGCTACACCTAACACGACAGAGGATAAGTTTATAGATTGTTGTTAACTTGCAACTGCTTGAGAGTTAAACCTTGTTTTTAATTAGGGAACATTTATATGAGACGTTAACAATATTTTAACCTTATTACTATATTTAATATTAAAAATTTTATGCTTGTAAAATGTAAATTAATGTTTTTAGTTAATGCTTATGACCTCTTCACGCTTGCAAACTTTTTATCAATAAATCGACAATATTCTGATACTACAGTATTATATCTGTGGTACATAATTAATAATATTCCGATAACTTCTGCAAACATGGCCACGACAAAGGATAATTATGAACCGTGTGTGAACTGTGTATGAATGACAAGTGATCATCATCGTATGTGAGCTAATGCAAGCCAAGAGAATGTAGGCCTCCAGTTACCGCATTAGTATACACAAAATGTTAAATCAAAATTACAAAAGCCCACATTGTTTATATACCTGATGACAAATCTTAGAATACAGGTTAGTGATTTCGATATGCTGTAAAACGTAATCGAAATGTCAATGCAATGTGTTACCAAATCCCAGATTGGTACTAGTGCAACACAAACCCAAAACGCAGAAGGATCAAAATGTCGGTTAGCCGCATTATTATCGAACTGCCAGAGCTGTGTCGAAGGAATAACAAAGTGAACGAAGAGCGGTGGGGCTAATGCGACGGACGGGCGACTCCAGCGTTGCGTGGAAATATAATGGCCGGGTAATAACGTCACGAGCTGTTCGGGGGATGGGGCTGGGCGGGTCCGCAGGTAACCTCATAACCAATTAGGGCCACTTGAGCGTCGAGGACGGTACGCAACAAAGTCGCCTTCCATTCGGATCGATTGAATTTCTCGAGTGGTGGTGGTTTGAACAGTAATAGATTTACGACCTGTTATGTCTGCTGTCTTTAATTATCTGGATTGTTACCAGTTAATATTTTGTTAAGTATTAACTGGTAATAGAATAGGTACTGGTGATCCTATGGAAATAGTTTGTTCTTTAATCCAGTGTAAAGAAATAGGTATTTATAAAAAATAAATCGAGATCTTTATCGAGAACGATGACAAAGCAGAGATTGTCACTAGATTGAATAGCAATCAATGGTCTCACATTCAATACGTAACGTAAAAGTTATTTTACAAAGATTCTTAAAAGGCTAGAACTGAAACTTTGCAAAAGGTATTAAGGTCGTTTACGTCGGAATCAAAAAGTAATAGTCATCACAATTAATTTACGGTTTACCAAAGTCCAAGTTACTTTTCATAAGGGAGAATTTACCTTAAGTCGAAATTGAATATTATGTCAAAACTTCTTTGGACAGCTTTAGGTAAGAAAATATACGATGATATACGCAATTATTTCCATTGCCCCCTTATAAATCTTGAATCAATCCCCCTCCTCCCCATTCCTCCTCTGCTCGGGGCCACTGATGAATGAATTAAGCGTCGATAGGACGGCCGCCTTCGAGATTCGCCTGCGTTAAAGCATTTTGAGCCTACTGTTCATACCAATAAGGACGACATGGAGCGAAGCAATGGTACGGTGGAGACGATCTCCAAAATGTGAGTGTGGTGTTAGGAGGCTATTAGCAATTATAATAGCTAGTGTCCCGCCGTAAGTGCCTGCTCATTACGGGTCGCGGCTTGCGGCTAGCTCGCAGCCTTATTGACGCTTTCCGAGGATTTGCTGGCCTTCCGTATTATAAGGTGAAGCTTCGATAGCTTTCAGCCGCCAGAAGGTTTACAAAACACACACGACCCGTGCCATTCGTGGATATCATCCACGGCTACGTTTCAAATGTGAAACTGACCAACGAGAAGAATTTTATTTTCACATAGATCAAAAATCACTTGTAGTTCGTCAATCTCTTCGATTAGGCAAACATTTCTTAGGTGACTACAACAATATGATCAGGTGAGTGAGGTTGTTAAAAATTTCAAAATAAAATGTAACAACACATCACATATTTATCATGATAGATAAATATGTTGCAAAATACAGCATATATAAACATTAATACCATTTATAGTATAAAATCTTTACATAAGGAATGCCATAAATATACGCATTTAGAACCGTATACAATTTAGATAATAAATGCAACGGTGATTCCTGTAAATACGTAAGTTTTTACTCTTTAATAAATACCCAGTGTTCTCGAAGAAGGTCTCATGATTTAGCCAGGAATAAATGGAAGAAAATAATCAATAATGTGGAAAAGAATAAGATCATGGTGTTTCTGATTAATAACAACATCTCACATCTAGTGCTGGCATATTATTGCTGAAGATTGGCATTGCAATGTTGAAGAGATCAGTGAAAATCGCAAGGAAATTCTTGAAAAACAGGCGACATTCGTGGTGTTTTAGGTGATTTGGCTTTTAACTTATTCATGGTTTTAATTGGAATACCTGCTTTTACATACATTTTACGTTGGGTGCTTGTCATGTTACATGTAAAGCTTAAGTTCTAGCCTAAAGTTAGCACAATTTAGACTTTGCTAGATTAGTCGCAGTTGTCATATCAGGCCAAATGGTCTCTGCTTAAATTTGAGAAACGTTTGATTACATTATTACAATTTCTATTATCTATTTACAGAGGTTAATTCCGAGGTACTTATAAAAACTTAAAATTAAGCGTTATACGAAAGACTCGCCTTGCCCTCGTATTTTTTGGTTGCAAACAAGCAAAGTTTTTGTTCTTAGTCTCGCGATAGCTCCAAATACATCTCAAAGGTTTTGGTTTTTTTTTTTCACTTATTTGCACATGCAAATTCAATTTTACAAATCTTTGTCATAAACATAAATATATACAGTATAACATACGAAATCGCAATGAAGTTAATTTAGTGAATAGTCTAAATATTTTTAGGCGGCGTTATTAACGAATATTGTACAAGTAATAGCGACTCAACTAGCATGTTAGGGTCAAAGTAACTAAAACAAACACTTGAAAAGTTGCATAGAAACAATATTGGAGATCATTTAGAAGTATTATGCAAGTTAACGGTCCCTGTCGGTTAACTGATTCCTAGATGAGATCTTGATCTCGAGCTGTCTCCGAGTCTCGGCATGGGGCGCCATCTCGTGGATGCAGCAGCCTCCCACTACGCTCGCAGCATCCACCACTAATTGAATCCTGTAATACGAAGCTGTGCCGAGTGCAGGCGCAGTTTGCACAGCACTCCACACAACGCCACGAGTGTTTAATTAATTTCTTCACCAAATTCCCGAACGTTCTGTGGGAAAGCACAAGTGACTTCCAAGTGTTCCCCGCATTGTGTCCCTTAAGTGGACAGCATGGAGGATTACTGAGAAAGCAAACAGCCAGTTGCTAGCATCAGCATTTTGCTTAGTGTCGATGACATCTCAAAGCGATAACGCAAGGGTGGGCGAATCTTCACAACGAAAACTTTTCTGACGGCCAAATGACGCTTGAAAATTGCAAAAACTGCTTTGTTCTTAATATTTGTTCACCAATCAATTGTTCGGTTGCTGGCACTGAATCAATAAAACTAGATAAATAAGCGCACCTGCTACTGATGAGACAAGTATGCAATGTGAAGGTCCTGGCTACAAAGTTTGTGTTGGCAGAACGTTCAGTACAGTTTTAATTTTTATTTAAACGAAGAATATGAAAATCTTTTAAATTTAGTATAAAGAATAAGTAAAGGATCTAGCCTGTTTTTTTTTTGTTTATTCACTGCACTATAAGTTGTTAATGAGCTCCTTATGTATCATAAGATAGAGAATCTTCTACAACTCTTGGTACATGCGTATGACATGTATTAAAAGGAATTATCCTCGTAACCATTCCAGGCTGTATGAGAGATTATTAGTTAAATATGAAATTGAATTCCCGACAACTCAACTAACTTATAAAATATTAATTTTTGTCAATACGGTTAAATTATTGGTATTAGATAATCATTAATTACACCATTAGGTACGATTTCTCTAGATTACTAAGCCCTATTATCGCAGCTTTGATTTACAGGAAAGTTTCGCACGATAAGATATACGATAAAATCTTGAATGAGCAATTGATTTGTTGACTCCAACCACGAGCGCACTGTTCTGCGTGAGAGAGTAGCACGTGTGATACAAGGCGTGCCCCGACACCCATTGTAATCCGACACTGACACAATTAGTTGCAACTTGACCGGGAACCGTGTCATGTCTTGTGACAAGCGAGGCGCCTGCGGCAGTACTAATGGGCAAAGTACTAATTTGCTATAAAAGTGTTTCACTGTTATTTAATTCACCGTTGATTAATATGTTTCTTTCACTTTTTTATATAAAAAGCTAGGATAGATAGGAGCTTCTGCGTCCTCCTGGTGTACGAAGGCAGGCCCAGCCTGAAATGTAAGTGTTATACTTTTCCATTTCGTAAGTGAGTGAGGTAACCATAGCTCAGTTCTTTGAAAGTTGGTTACGCATCTGTCGCCACAAATTTCAGATGTCCATGGGTGGTGGTAACGACTTAACATCAGGAGAACCGCCAGCTCTCTTACCTTATATCCAAAAACTGACTGCACCAATGCATCTTGGATTTCAATCGTAGTGAATGCCTCTACTTTTTTTCACATTTCCCCTTTTGATTACAAAATCAAAGTGTATCTTCAAAAAATCCGTGTAAGTCGGTGAATTCACGAGATGTCATGTATAAGAGAAATATGATTAAATAGCGATGCCACTATATCGATATAAGCTATCGGTCCACTAGGCCAGGAATTAAAGAGGCAGAGTTTGATGGGTAATAAATGATTAAAGCCAAAATCGTTGATAAGACGCATGAAAGTCGCTTCATGGTCTTTGAGTCAAGATTCACATAATACCTAAATGTTATTTAGGAAGATGGAGGTTATATTTACAAATGGATAATATCTAAAACGATGATTAGTGTCGATATAAAATATGCATTCTGTAAAGAATGTCCAGCCTTCGTACAACACATATTTACAGCATTACGTGTTACAATGCATACTAAATGTAGGAATGGAAGAAGTAGGTTAGAAAGTCTAGACAGTGATAATGTTAATGCGATTTTCTGATAAAATTGATTCTTAATTAAATCTTTCTTGACTTCTAAGACCTAACTAATAGATCTTTGAATTATGCAATGCCATTCCTATTGTTTTGTTAGATTTTCTATACTGGAATCCTTCTAGTTTATGTGCGGATAGGTCAAATTTCGTGATTCAGTTGTGGACTGTAACGAGCACGAGGACTATAGAAGACTTAAAATTGAAGTTAAGTAAAGTCGTCTGACTTCTAGGAAATCCAAATTTTAAAAATATTACTGTGCATTATAATCCAATATTATGATAAACATTACACACCTTAAGATTTTACTTTAAACATTTCTTGTTAGAGATTTTAACTGATATTTGAAAACTGTTTTCAGGCTAGTTTTTTGCGGAGATGCTTCCATAATGGAATCTGCCAAAATACCTAGCATCCGTAATTAGAGTAAAAAGCAGACCTCAGTAGTTATCCGGCTAGTAGAAGACTGGCAAATTATAAGGCGCCAAGAGAGCAACTAATTGGAAATGTAAATACGAATTAACGGAACCAAACGACGTCGGGGCACATCTGACGAGGAACAAGTGTTTGAGGCGGCTTGCTCTATTGCTTGTTATTACAATCCGTCGCCACTCAGAGTGTCGACTTGCAACTCGACACCGCGCCACAAAGCAGGGGGACATGCAGAGATTTGTGCTTTCGTGCGTACGCGATAAAGGCTGCAATCGCGTGGCTTCGCAGCTCCAACGGGCAGTCGAGGCTCGTCTGATGGTGTCGGAAAAAACGCCTCCCCACAAATGTTTGGAGTAACCGAGAAGCTTGTCGCAATTGCTACTTAATGATGTGCCAATGTTGTGCCCGTCCGTTTTGTCGGCTGTCACGCGCTACGTGATTGTCAGCACACCGCTGAAGGCGCCCCGTGAAAAAAACTACGAAACGAAACATCCGAGATTGTGGCGAGGCGGCGACGCGCTTTTTGTGAACAGTAGCCGGCGAAAGGAAATATCTTGTTTTGTGGTTTAGCGCTAGAAAAATATGGAGATGTCAACGTGTAAGTTGGTGAGCGGCTTTATGAGAATCGTAGTAAATTCGTTTCAGCGTAGATATTTATTATTGCAGATATCGGAAAATATAGATCGAAGAATAAAAGTAGTTTCATCGTATGTTTTAAAACGTCATTTTCCTAACGAAATAATTGTCTTGTCATGTTATATGAGAATTATTCATGAGAATTATTTTATAATTACCACACCAGCTTATTTACTTTCTCACTGAAAATCAGTGAGGTAAAGTTTTGTTTTTATTTAGTTTAGCTCCAGTTTTGATAAATTGTGTAAATTTCGTCAACCTGTAGTATAAGTTTAAGTATACATATAAACTAGTAGTAGTTAAAGTTAATTAAAAGTGTCTTTATTGTATTATATTGAGCGTACTTGATTGTTTTAGGGCTGAAAACGATACGCTAATAAGAAAATTGTCCCAGCCATTTGACCAACGCCTTTACGCAATTGACTTTAATAATGGCGCGTGACTTTTTCCGCGACTTTATATAGGCTTTGTTTCGCGGTACATAACAAGGGCCCCTAATATCCAAATTAAAAATGGCGGCTTCCGCTAAACAATGGCTGCAGAAACGGCCATCGCACAGCGTGGGGCTTTGTTTTAGAAACAATAAGGCGTGCGGCCATGATGGCGAAATGTCGAATCTACCCGCGGTACACCCCGCGGCGTCGCAAATACGAAATTCACGCGCAAAAATGGCGGGCGGAGGCAATTTTTTACAAATGGCCGCCGGGCGAGAGACTCAGGTGGTCTGTTTAGAGCAGTTTTCAGAGCGCTGGGGTTGCCCTGCGTGTGCACGCATCGACTCTAATGAGTATTATCTACGCCGCTGAAATCATAACAACGGGAGGGAACTCATTACATAATTGAGTAACTCGAGCGCCCCCGGCCATCCTTCATCTCGACCTCTCTAATTTGCATTTAACGGGATATTTTCTAAAACCTCACGTCCTACCTAAGCAAATTCTTTTCCAGCGCGGCGCACGAAACGGCCTAAGTGCTGGCGCGTTCCGCTAAAAATCACCGTTTGTCGTGAGCGCAGGGTCTATTATCCGTTGACGCGGGATTCGACATATGATTTATGGCACTGGCCGCGGCGGGCGACTGCGCGGTGACGTTTGGCGTTTGGCGGATTCATTACAGAGACAAAGGCAGAGGGGGGGGGACTGCGCGCGGGGCCCGGGGGGGTGGCCCACGAGGGATCCCCCGCCCCCACCCCGATACCGCCAGCCACTTTCCTAAATCATTGGCACGTATTGTTCGGTATTAGTTCTTAGCCGATGAGGGAAATCTGAAAGAACGGAAGGCTGAGTGATCTAGTGGCACTTTCATTCGAAGCACTCCCACCAGTGTAGTTAATGTCACAACTTCGATATTGCTTTTTTTATATGTGTATCTATAATTTGGATATGAGACATTTCTTATTAAACAATTAAAAACGAAGACACTTTGCTAATGGCAATGAATCAATGAGCGTCTATAAAATGTGAAAATGCTTTTTTCTAAGGTCCCTATTATTTTTTAAATATATTATGTAAACTTATATTATTTTATGTAAACTTTTGATAAATTACTAAAATCTACCGGTTAACAAACACATTTAAGATAATTTTCAATTCAGCGATGGGTGGATCACTATTACTAATTAAACTATAGTTGTTGCTATTATAGATCTAATTGAATACATATTTTGACAATCTATCGGCTATAAGTGAAGTATATTTCAGGCACGCAGGTATACGATACGCTTTCTTAAATTGCTTCCAAACCAATAGATATATGATATTATAATATCATGGTTTTCTGCGAACAATACCGTCTATTTTATGTTAATTTAATTACTTTAAATGCTGGAATTTCATTATACTTAGTTATGGCAAGTAACCCAAAAGCATGGACTACCCCTATAAAAAAATAACCTTCAAATCTAAAGCAGCTTTAGGTTATGATTCCAAATAATGATAGACAAGATTCAATAAGATACTTAAAAGCAAACTATTTCCTTAGATATTGATTATTGTAATATTATGCATGCTTAAAATGTATCAGAGCTTCCCTTTACTAATTGAAAACGTTAATTCATTTTTTTTATTTTCATCTTTCATTAGCTGATTTCAAAGCTTTACTCAGTCTTAATAAATAAATAGGAACCAAAATTTTTTTCTTAGACTCTTAATTGCATAAATTACTTGAACGCTCAATTCAAATTCAATAGAATGCGTTTACGACGATAGGAAAAATAAGCTTACATATAAATCCCGATCAAATTAACAATATGCTAAATACCCAAGTAAAGAATAAGGAACCTGGGTGTACCATGCCCAAAATTTGTACCATGTTTTTATCATATCATTTTAAAGGAAATTAAAAGCAAGAACCGCCGGCTACGCGTCGGTATTGACGTCACAGAGTATGTAGTGAGTATTTGTGATAAGGTAAGGTAAAGTGAACAGACTACATGTCCCACTGCTGAGTAAAGCCCTCCTCTGTACAGAGGGGTGCATAGTCTACCAAGCGACCACATTGCGTATTGGCAGACTTCACATATCTTCGAAACTGTGGTAGGGCCACGCAACAGATTCGGCCGTTGCTCGAACGGGCAGGTCCGTCCGGGAAGTACCACGATCTCACAGAAAACCGACTTTTTTTGTTTTTTTTCTATGTGAAAAGTTGCCAAACAAGCAGACGGTTCACCTGATGGTAAGTGAATACCGCCGCCCATGGGGACATTTGCTACACCCGAGGGTTACAGATGCGTTGACAACCTTTTGAAAATTGGGCTCCGGCTACCTCACTCACCAGACGAAACACGAAAGTGTTTGTCATACTTCCACTTTACGCCGGTCTTTTGTGAGTTCGTGGTACTTACCCGGACGGGCCTGCCCATTCGTGCAACAGCCGAAGATCCTGCGTGGCCCTACCACCTTTACGTTTATATACTTCTGCGTTTCGTCTCGTTTTCGTATCCGGGGCCCGCTTTATTTTAGGGTGGCAACACATCTGCAACCCTACAGGTATTGCATGTTATCACTTAACATCAGATGACCCGTCAGCTCTCTTGCCACCTTCTTACATAAAAAAAATAATTATATTATTTCGAAAACATGCAGGTTTTCTCATGATATTTTTCCTTGGTCATCGACGTCAGCACCTAAAATTGACAATTTAATTGGTGCCTGCACCGGGATTTGGATTGTGGTCGCTCGAGTATATTAAATTGAAAGCGAGCGCCAGGACACTGAGCTACCACGACGAAAATTACTGTAGACAAAAAGAATTTTGTGAACGTGAAAGAATCGTAAAAAACATACGCCTGTATTTCATTTTGCAAAATCTTACACAGCTACGCCAACAATTTAATTGGAGCTGGCACTAATAACAACAAAAAATATTACGATATGTGAAATCCGTCAACTGGAAGTGGGGTAACGTGGTGGACTAAGCCCTAATAGCATCTTTACCGAAGATGCCTCTACCGAGCATTGGTAAATAATATAAGCTGTTACTTTACTTTACTTAAAGTAACTTTAGCCACTTATTGACACATGCTGTTGATGGATCAAGTTTATGGATAATGTCAAACACAGAGAGGTCTCAATGTCATTGCCAAATATCACTGTTAGATATACGCATTGCATTTTCATCAAATAAAGAAATCTAACTTGTTTAAAAAAAATAAAAAATAAGGTTTGGATATGGTTATCTTTGAAAAACATGAAAATATCTTACATCTATTTCTTGCCGTAATTAGACTGACTAAGAAAAAATATTAAGAGGATTACGAAGCTTTTACCATGGGTCAAAATATTAGTGATATTGTGTGTGAAAACAAAGTCTTTACAGTTTATTATAGTCGGCTTCTAAGTACATCTAGATGTACAAACAATCAATCAATATTTTAAAGTATCCATTTCCCATGTTATAGATATTTAGAATTGTATGTACCCTTAAAATGTGCATGTGTAACTAGATATCGTGCTAAAATAAGAACTTTTATACAATTATACCGTGTTTGAATTCACATCATATAAGTAACAGACAAGACACCTAACTGCAAATTCAAATACTATTACCGGTTTAGAAAAGGAAGGCCACTGACCTGAGACGAACCAGCGAAAGAACTCAACAGGACAATATTTTTTGATAATTATTCTTCAGTGAAAACATGTTTACAATGTGTTAAAGTAAACTTAAACAGCCTGCAGTGATGGCTAAGATCTGTATAGAAAGTATTATGGCTAATTCTCACTGCGAATCTGTAGATTCAATCATATTTTTTAATTTCCCCCACAATCAATTGTCACGATGCTTTACTTCATCGCAGAGCATATGGTAAAGTAGCACTTAAAATTAATGAGACATGAACGCGTAATAGTTTAACACAAATCTAAGTGATTCTAATTATTGTTTTCGTGAAAGTAAATGTCATGCGTGGAACTCGTATAAAGTGTTTGAAAACAATAAAAAACAACAGTAAGCTTAGACTCAAACATTAATAAATTTCCTTCCAGACCAGACAAAGCAAACACAAGTTCTATCAAAACTTCTTATCGTGTAGACTTGATATAGCGTTAAATTGAAATGATTGACGTTAGATCTAAATTCACCTGAACCAAAGTACATAAGGCTATTCGGTGTTAAGGCTTAATAGTTAAAAAGTTTTGGTTAAATATACACGCATACAGATGATTAAATGATTGATGAATTATCTTTTATCCGTTTAGCAGTGCACTAATTTGTTGATGAAGTTTACCACATCGTACGTAACACACACAGAAAAATAGGATGATAATTTTCCCGACACCCATCCAACACACAATGCGTTGCATTAATGATCGGTGTCCTAGACACCAATGCAAGAGTAAACAGGCTTTTACCGAGCTAGTGCGTTTTGGTAAACGAATGCATCACCATTCACCACCAGCTCCGTTGGTAATTAAGCACTAGCCGTTGAAAAAAATACAGTCAGTCTCAATATACTGCCGACAGAAGTGACAACATAAAACAATAAAAAAATTAAAATTGTATAATTTTTAATTCTACATATTATTATTATGGGTACACCGAAAATATATCCAGTATTTATACTATATCCATCATCATCATCATCATTTCAGCCTGGTTGAGTCCACTGCTTCGTGGCAGTCTGTGGGGGAGGCCTATGTTCATATCCATAACTACAAAATATTTTTTTTCGTATTCCTTTTTTAAAAATAGCTCATGGAAAGCGTTCGGTGACGATGACGCGTGTTTCACACTTTTGTTCAACCAAAAAGTACAGATACTCGTATTTAAAAAGTATGTATACAGCTCATGGAAAGCGTTCAGTGACAATGACGAGAATACCATGAAATTTGTTCACACAAAAAGTGCACAACGCGCCTGAAGAAGTTTTCGCTTCAAAAAACAAATTCCGCGGGCGAAAATTGCCGGCTGCGAAAAGCGCCAACTTGTCTGCCAGCTACTGACCTGTCAAGTGCGGCGGCGCGGTCGGGCTGTACGGGCTCTTGATCTGCGGGAAACCTGCGGAGGAAGAATTACATTAATTGAGCAACAAACAATTAAGGCCGGCGGGGCATTCCAATTGGGAGGACCGCGATTTAGCAGTGGGGGCCGAGGAGTCAACTCGCGCGCGCTGACTCCGCATTAAATTAACCGCCACTGGGACAGGGCGCACCGTGAAAAATTCCGACGAGGTAATTTCTGTGCAGTGAAAATAGGAGGCGAACACGATCACGGCTGCGAAGCTTCCCAGTGCTCTTAACAATTAAAGCTTATTTAGTATTCTATCTCCAAAATAACGGAGGAAACCTCGAGTCATGATAGTAATTGTTTTAGATACTAGGCAACGTCCGTATTACTTTTTTTATATATATAATTGTTCTGTTCTTGTGTGTTTGACTGAACTCTTAAACGGCTGGACCCATTTTGATGAAATTTTTTGTGTGTGATCAAGTGCATTCGAGAATGGTTCTGATTCACAATTCGGTCCACTACAAAATATCTTTTTAATAAATTTTTTAAACGTGTGTAAAGGACACGTCCACTAGTTTCATATAAGATTTTATCATGACGGCAACGAGTTGAATGACCGTATCAATTCACTTTCTTCGAAGGTAATGAATGCATTTAGTACTGAAAGCTTTTATTGAGCCGTGACCTTAACCATCTAAGACTACCGTTTGTTAACGTGATGTTGTAGTCAAAGGCTTATTTTTAAGCAGGGGCAGAAATACGAGCAATCAACTTATCCGATATTAATTGATCATCGATGGCCATAAACTTTCAAGACGTTACCAGCCCATTAGTAATTAAAGAATGAAAAAGACAGAACATTATGTTAAGGAGTTTGAATGGTACGATTGATAAAGTGCTGTTTATTCTCTTAATACAAAGATACTCATTTTGTTCAACATAATATCCATGTTTGTGTCTGTATATTCCGACATTAACAACATGATTCATATGATAATGTTATGCCGACTTCATCTAGATGGCAGAAGAAATAAAGTGTGTACATTGTGACGGAGATCGAATGAGAGTCGATAATGTGATAAAGATGAAAAAAAAGTTGTTCTTTTTTGTGATCACGCTGTATTAACACAGAATTTTACTATCCAGTTCGCTCTTCAGCGGAAGAACATTTTGTTCAAATCCCAAATCGTAGACCGAAGAGCGCGGATGTTTTTAATCTGAGCTATTTACGAATATCGAATATTTTTCATGATGTCATTGCATAGGCATTCAATTATAGAAAAGAAAGATAATGACCTCTGATGTGTTTCTACAGTGGATTTCAAAACAGCCGATTAGAATATGTTTTATTCAATCAGACAGAAATCATTCGACTTAATTTATCTGTTGAAGTCTAGTATGTCGCCAGCTATGAAAAATTTCCAAAAAATAACACAACTTAATTACACAGTGATTAAACAAAAACGTCAAATTCAGATAGCCATAGAGTACGAAACGTTTTTTTCTCAATTATTAGTCATAATAAAAAAAACACCTCGTAAGCTCTATGGCGATCTGAATAATAATGAATATTAAAACGCCCCAAGCAAGTCACCTCGATTGTTTGCGGATTAATTGTAAGGCGAGGCCTTCCTTAAGCCTATCGGATTTCAAGGGATTAGACAAAAAGCGAGTAGGGACAGCGAAAATAGCGCGATGTAATCGAATCGCCACGGGCCAAATCGAATTTCGCGAGCCATAGACAATGAGCACAATTGATGGCTGAGGTAGAGCCGCATTCAGCGGGGCGACGTGGTCCCATTATTTCTTCAAACACCCGTTCACAATTGTCGTGGAAATTTAACAATATTAAGGCGGTGGAGAGAGAAAAAAAATGCACAATGGCGATGTAAAGACTTCCTCAATTACGTGTGGAGTGGCGGGTAAATAAATAAATGAACTGGTCCGTGTAAACGGCCATTGTGCCGAGCTAAGTGACCGGTGTGATGAATCATGCTTTCATGGTGAAATTGCGGGCAGGTTATAACTAGAGAGCGTAACGACGTCAGGTGTGATAATATACTTTTATGACTATCACATTTTTAATTTACTAACATATCATCGACTTCTTTTTTATCAAATTCGCTCCAATGTTATTTAAACTTATAGCGTAGAAATAATTTCGTAAAATGTTTGAAAGTTTTAAAACATGTTTTTATTATAAACAGAAAAAATTGGTACCTACCAAGATCGGAAAGTCTAAATAGTCCAAACTATAAACAATAGATGGCGCTACCGCTCAGCACTATTTCCATATTCATATCCCTTTTACATACTTCCGTCGACACAGTTCCACCGAATCTACATACTGCTAATAACAAAATTAATAAGCTTGAGTGTTTCACAACTTGTGGTCATAGGAGGTTAAAATTCAAAGGATGTTAAAAAGACGTTAATTTTGGACGAAATTTACGATGATAAATGACGTCTGCGTATCAAGAATAATGCGTAATTATGATTCACCAAACATTGATACCATTTACAATTAACAGCATATTTCAATTGATAGGCAAAAAATCTTTATTTAGAAAATTTTCCTGGTTAAATGAAACTATTCATAGTCCGGTCCATTGACCATGAACGCAAGAAAGTACTTCTTAAAATATTTCCATTTAACCGTGTTGCAAAACCCAGTTATCCCAATTAGGCAGTGTCGAAATAAACCAAAAGGGAATCGCCGGGGCGTCTACTCAACTTAGAGCGGCTAAATTCAGGTGCGTTGCCGAAAGAAAAAATACGCCATGCCACCGGGTCGCGCGCCCGCTAACAATGTCGAGAGGATTACGCGACGGAGACGGGCCCGAAGCTTTGTGCCCATTGTCGCGGTGTCATCCCATTGTGCCCATATTGCCCCACTCGATGCGTCAAGTGCGCTGTCGACTTGCCGAGATCACACTCCTGCGCACCGGCCGCCGCTTAAACTGATTCGTTGCGGCGGCGAACGCACTGTCGCGAATCACCGTTTTGGGCACATTACATTTTTAGATCCGCTACAACGCGTTTGGATTCTGGTATAAAAATTATTATATCCAGTAGTAGTATCCATACATTGTATATTTCATTCACATAAGTAATGAACTTTTTTATTGCACCTACCACAATTTATCTCCATGCCCATATCCACAGTAAGTGAAAACAATAATAATAATCTCGTAAATAGAGTTAATTTTCGTGATAAAATATCTAATCTTTTGGCGTCGTCAAGTTCTCGTCAAGGTTAGAATATAATTATCTAACTAGAGGTTCAGTCTGAATATTTTAATGAATGACTTCTTTGGGGTCCATAGATATCGGTCTGGCCCTCTAGTCGCTATCAAGGACTCTTCATGTAATTCCGACCTTTTCAAATTGATGCTTGTATCAATCAATCTTTGAATTTCATCAATATTCTTTACAGAAATTACAAACCATGGTTAAAAGTACTTAAAACTTGTTCTGTTACAAAATTTCAAAATGTGAAAAATACAATTTGCCATATCGCTATAACGTATCTATGTTATTTAAATATGCATACTTTTACAAATTATTTTACTAGATAAATAACAATAACGTAGAATAAAGAAGCGCGCAATGTTTTATACAGTAGCAAAATTGAACGATTTTCACTATCAAATGCAAGTTGTAGTAAATAATAAGTTGTAGTAAATAAAATATACAATTATTTTCTCGCAGCATTAACAAATTATAGATCCAATTGAAAAAGTCAGTTCATTTCAACGGAAATACGTGAAGTCTGCTTTTGTAGGACAATATTGGCTCTCTTTCATTAAATAAATAACTCAGCGTGGTTCATATTATAGGCACCCTTGGTACGAAAGCACTAGTAACCCTATAAAGTACAAATATCTCAAGTTTTTGTTGCGATGCCCTGTAATAGGGCATTGTTTGAATTTCATAACCAGCTGTAGAATTAGTTATTTTATTAATTAAACTGACTCCGAATATATTCGGCACCTAACAACTAGACATTTGAGTTAACATACCACCCTTGCTATTGCTTCTGTTTGTTCTAATTAACTTTTAGTTCAACGATATGAGGTCAACGTAACTCTATATAAGAAAATATGCTGCACGAATTCAGCACACTACACTCGTGAACCGATTAGCTTATTACGTGGCGGACGCTCGAGTGGATGTCAAAGGCTGTGGCATGCTATTAACATACTGACGGTTCGATGATGGAGTGCGCTATAAGCCAATCGGTGGTGCAAAAGCGAAGCATCAGCTCGGCTCGGGCTAGAACTGCGGATAAAGGCTTTGTCGGCCGCTAGCCCTCTCGATGGCAGCGAGGGCCCTCGACGCGAGGAGGGCCCTCCCCTTGAGCCCTCGCCTCCTAGACACCTTCCGCGACACAATAAACAACGGCCCGACACGTCTCGCCCCGTAGACTCGTACCCGGTGTTAACCGCACTGTTTGCTTTGTACCGGGCCCTTATTGACATAATATTACATATAGTTTTTTTAATATTATTTATAGCCTTTCTGCCGTTCGAAATGTTATCGCATTCTGAAGGTACACATCGGTTAGTTATTTAAGATTTACTTACTGTATTGTATCTCAAAGATGTTTTTGTGTGCACTGTGCGGAAATATTACGCGGGTTTACTAGTTATTTCATATTAAATACAATAATGATAAGTGCGAAGATAAAAAGAGCTTATGTCGTTACGCCATCAATCCAGAAGAATCCATTCAAGATGACGCAGATAGTAATGGCAATAAACGAGATTGACAGGTTTTTATTCCTGATACATTGTAAAAGTGTTGATGTCAATGGAACATTTTTTTAAAAATACGACTAAGACGTCTAGACCATTTTCTCTTTCAAATTAAAAATTATATTGAAAAAAAAAAACGGCACTTATAAATATTCCAATTAATGTAACTCTTTGATGTTTTGTAATGGATTAAAACGTTGAAAAAAAAAAAAAAAAAAACTCGCGAGATTGCCAGCCGCAATTGCTGCACGTCAAACGCGACATCAGCGGCCTCGGCTCCACCCGAGATCTGTTTACACACAAAGCGACGACTTAATTGAGTCGCCACTCGGCCCACGACTTCGTATCGGATTCCACTTGCTTAATTAATAGAAACGGCCCCGTCCCGCCGCCTCTAAACGCCCCGTCCGCGCCCCGAAACTAATGACTCGCCGTTGTCTGTCAATCCGCTAATGTCCCGCTTTCGAATTTATTGATTAACTTTCAAATTGCGCCGCTCCGCGCTTAATTGGGGAACAAACGTTTCGAGATTGTTAATGCAATAACGAATGATGGACCCGTACGATCGGGCTCTTTCAACAGTTGTCAATCACAGGGTTTATTGAGGCGGCCCGTTGCCATGGAAACACGTGTCATGACGCGGGGCTGCCATTGAAAGACATTATTGCTATGATATATTATTACTAAGGTTATATTTTCCTACTACGTTCCTAAAGGTTTCCGGACAATAACGTTTGGACAATTACATGATTAAACGATTTTTTTCAAATGAGTAGTACCTTTTACATCTACAATGTAGATATAATACCAGTCATGTGAAAAAACATGTAGATTCTACATTTACTTATTCATCTAGGATAGTTGTAGAATTGAGACTCTGACTTTCATGAACATTCAAGGCGTTAATCTAACTGTTGCTTAACTTGCGATTTTAAGCTCGAATGTAATTTATACGCATAAAATAAAATAAGTTTTGTATTAATGTCATTGAAAGACTAAATTAATTTCCGTTATCACTTAGACACCATATCGCAAAAAAAATGTATTATTTAAGTACATTCCATAAAACATGCAGAGATAGATATACTTAATCTATACGTTAATAAAATTAAGCTGAAGAGTTTGTTTGAACGCGCTAATCGCTGGAACCACAAGTCCGATTTGAAAAAATCTTTTTGCATTTGATAGCACAATTCTTTAGGAATATTACTTATAGAGTATTTAACGTCACGCTACGACCGGCGGTGAGGCAGAAACGGTTCTTGCGGATAAAATCCCTAATGAATTAAATAAAAAAAATACTGAATCCGTCCCGTTATTGTGAGAAGCCTGTTCTCGCATCTTTCAGGACGTTGCTGGTGGTCACGAGACAGAAATTTTATTTATTTGTGCTCTGTAGAGCTTTGCTATCAAGTGTCTAGACGCTCGCTTTTAATTCAGTAGACACGAGCACACTGATTTGACATGCCGGTGCCGGCACCAATGAATTTGTTAATTGCAACTTTAAATATTGACTCATCACGTGCTCGATGGTGAAGAAAAAATCGCGAGGATAACTGCATATTTTCGAAATAGTAATAAAACAAATATTTCGAAAATATGTGAAGTTTACCAATCCGTAGTGGACTATGCTTTAATACCATGTACATTACTTACATATATACTCTGTACAGGAGGCCTTTACTCAGCAGTTGGACAAATATAAGGTTTTACTTTACTTTAATTTTGAGGACTATTTTATATCATAATCTTCACAAGAGATTTCCGCCGATAATTGACTCATCACGACATCTCTGGAGCCATAAGGCATAGAGACTTGAAATTTGGTAGGAATATTCCTTTCGCCGAGTAGAGGTCAGCTAAGAACGGATTTTACGAAATTCCACAAAACAACGTTTGACGGATCAGCTAGTATATTATATGAGAATTTGTTAAATATTTTAGGAAGAGCTGAGAGCAAAAGACTATCGCTATCTTGTGCCTATGCCTTGGGAAATTGTTCCTCGCATAAAAAAAAATATTTAAATACTCTATGAGTTGGATTAACACATAAAACTTTCGCCCGGTTTCTGAAACAATGATCATCGTAGATGTCAACTAATCAGCCGTCAAATGGCTTTTCAAATTTCATTTTAGTCGCCAAAAGGACGGTTAAACTCTCTGAATTGACCAGAATGATCTTCTAATGATCAGAACGGTTGATCTTCTAATGAACAAAAAGGATGGTTAAACTCTTTGGATTGATCGTTAGATCAATTTTGGCAACTAAAATGAAATCTGAAACCATTTGACAGCTGATTAGTTGACATCTACGATGATTAGTGTTTCAGAAACCGGCCGTTAGCAACTTAAGCACATCGGGGTCACGGTCTGTACCGAAGCTCGATGGCCAGTGGGTGTATAACATACCGCACGACAATACTAAAAATAATGGCGTTAGAACTATTTATTACGGGTCGAAACTACCTGATTATGTAGCCGTTACACTTAAATTACTAATAACTGCTGCTGTTCTGTAATTCCACACGGCCTATCTAAAATTCATGTGTAATTTTGGCGGCGGCGCTGTCAGGCCCTTGGGCCCGCATACGCGACGCGTCGTGCATGCAAATGCGCGCAAGATGGCGCCCGCGCCGCTAACGAGCGCTTTGACAGCGCGTCGAGTTGGCGCGCTTTTATCTTGCGCCTTTATTTTAATTAATTTAGGATCATCGCGCGCTTAAGCGCGGCGTCACGCGCGCCCGTGGACGCGTTTATGGTTATAATCAAGCGTCGCACCACTAATTAAGGCCGTTATGATGCTTTCGGACGCTTGTTTGTTTTTACACACGCTAGCAGTGCACTCTTAGTACTTACTTGTACAGATTATTCCTGTCTGGGTATATGTAAGGTGAGCATAGCGCTCTATATAAACTGCATTAAACATTTTTGAGAAACAATATTAATTCACTTGAAGTTATATTTTTATAATGAGCACAACTTTAGTGAACAATCTGCAACTAACTTAACTATTTTACTGTATCTAATCGAATCTCTAATCCTGTGGGAACGAAGAAGATGAATTTATCGGAGCCATTGAAAATATTACACAAAAATGGAAAACATGCGAAAATCAACAAGGCAAGAGCGAACATTCTTCTATTCTGTTATCGCTTTAACCTCCGAACCTATCAAGGATTATCATCGGCTGGGTTAATAGACAAGTACTAGCTGTTCCGCGATAAAAATGCGTTATTGTGATGCATAATAACATCACTATTACGAACACAACTACGCTCGAGTGGCCCTAACGGCATTAAAAGATTATCCGACATGAGACCAACTGGTATTGCAAAGCGCGTAGAGCGGAGGGAGCGGCACGCGCGAAACATATGAAGGCAATAAATTAATATCCAATCGGCAGCCGGGGGTCGGTTAATTGAACCTGGCTCCAGCCAACTTGTAATCCGGCAGGAATGTGCCGCGAATGCCCTGCCGCGGCCAGAGCACGCTGACCCCCTAGCAGTGGGGCGGTTCGACCGGAGACGAGCACAGGGGAGGGTCTGCTGAGGCTGGCGCTTGCAGCAGTCTAATACTCAACGCTATTTCAATTACGGTGGCGGCTCGCCCTCCGCATTTCGCAGCTAATCCGTTAACAAAAGACCTCTTATAATTTGAGAAACGCGCGAGTCGCCGCGCGGAGGTAATTGAAATTTTATCGCCGCCGTAACGCTAGCGCCGATCGATTGCACCACGACCTCCAAGCTGTCCGCTAAGCCCCGTTCCAAGGGTTAATTCGGACAAATGTCGCTTTCACGCTTTCCTTGTTTCTTAACAAACTGAACTTTGTTGATTTTGCAAACGATTTTTTGATATAACACAGAACAGCACAATTTTGAGAAAAGCAGCTGCCAGTCGGTAGCCGTGTGAGAATTTCATTCAGGAGATAAACAAAATGTTGACAACACTTTCTTCGCAAACATAAAAGGATTTACCTGAGATCACAACTATCGAATCCAAGTCGAAAAATGTACAAAATATCTCATCAAATAAAATACTAAATTACGAAATGTAAAATTACAGTAACGTAAACATGCAACCAAATAAAAATACTGCGACGCTGTTAAAAAAACACACACTTCCGTCGTCAGCCGTGATCCAGTTCATTTACGGGTCGCTCCCAATACCGGACTTCGCGCGGAACCATTGTCATGCTGCGGTGTCACATAATGTACACACTTAGCGTGACACGTCCCTAATCGCGCCGTTGTTGCCGAGACGAGGTGTGCCCGCTGTCACAACAGCGTGACGGATGAATAATGTAGCAGCGCCGAGTTGGAAGGGTTGGCGGCGGCGACAGCTACGCCTCTCGCTTTGTGACGTCACGCCCGACTAATGCGGCACGGATTATTGTAATTTCGATCCTTACTTGACTCGCGTCTGAGCGGGGAACGTCTGAAAGTCAGCATGCAGCAGGAGAGGGCTAAGGAAGCATCGAGTTACGAACTAATACATTCCCACATGTTCAATCGTACGTAAGCCATACAAAGTCAATTGCATCCCTTTTTTGTATGGAATCAGAATACGTTAAACAATGGTAGAAATTAAATAATATTAGAAATCGTGCCGTGCGATATGAGGCATACGTATACATAAATGAAATATAGAGTATACCTTCAAAATCTGCTCTACAATGGAATGTCGGTTGAGATCGGATGAAATTCGTGCAATTGACTCATAATCACACCCATTATTTTATATAAAAGAGGTGAATACATCAAGTTTTTTATTAAAAGATTTCATTACAAATATTCAGTTACAAAGGATATTACGATGCGACACTTATATATACATACCTACATGAAAGATACGAACTATGCACTTAAATAGCTTAATTATGCATAATTGCTAATTTGTTGTTTCAATCGTTGTATACGAAAAGGTAAAACGATTTTGTGTACATGGGATAGTAAACGCTTAATGCCAATTGACCATAACTTTAGGGATAAATACTATTTCGATCAAGGAAATCTTATTTGATCAAAGTTACGTATTAACTTGCAATTAGGACATCATTCTACGAAGCCGAGTCTGTGAAAGTGTCACATTTCCCTGAGACGAAACAAAAGACGATCTCCGCGCAATAATAGCACCATTGCGCGCCTCTGACAAATATTTTTTCCACTTCGTTAAAACACACAATTTGGGGTAATAATTCGACGGTGTGCCAACTTATGACAAAAACAGCGCGGAGCCTCATCGCCTCTACGAGTCCTTGGCTGCCTTATGCCCAAATCATTGTCCCCAGGGCCCGCAAGTAAATTTACACCTCAATTGGGTGACAATAAAGTCGTTATTGCGTCGTAACATCGCCGCGTGCGCGCCATGAAGGGTGACAAACTACTTTGAATCTTAACGTATAGGCTATTCGGTTCAATCTCGAGCGATCGGAATGGGTGAAAGAAGCCGCGGGCAGCTCACCTTAGTGATGCGATTTTCAATTAACGTACTCAATTATAAATGTAAATTAGTTACAACGTTTCTGCTTCTCGTGCATTTTAAAAGTTTTCACGCGAAAACCTTCCTATGGGATATTTAATTTGTAGACAGCTGCGTAGCGACGTAGACAGTGTATTAAAATAAATCGCTTGATTTTTTTTTATTAATCTGACAAATAACCTATTTTTAACAAAATTATTAAAACTAGGCATTACATAAAAAAGCAACTAGTTTTTTAAATACATCTTTCGCTTTCAAGCCGGGTGAAAAAATTTGGAGATTTAGTTGCAAATTACTCTGTATTTTCCTACCAAGAATTTTTTATAATTAACCATGTTAAAGTCAGCTTATGAAAACCACGCCGACAAACGTCAACAATTGAAGTTTCTGTATTTGGCGTCGACATGTCATTACAGCTCGTGTTGTACGAATATTAAATTCTTACCCTGAACACTTATCTACAGGGATCAATCGCATATATGGTAAACACGCGAAATAAAAGTGATGGGTTGAAATTTGGCGCAAATTCTAACCAATGAATATGTAAAAATAATGATCGCTATGGCTGGAAAACGAACTTACGAGTACTGAGTTGAAAGGTGGTATAATTATAATTTTTAAGATATCATATCACCATAGAAGTCTTTTCGGATAATAAATTACTCGTAACATCGTGATTAATCCGCCATCTCTTAATGTCAAGTTTTCTAAACAAAATATAAAAGAAGAAAAAATTGAAAAGTTGGGTCGGGCTGGATAAGCTCGGCTTAACAGATTTTTCGTTTGTGTTACAATTTATTTTCATAATTCTGGTTTCATAGACAATACGTTCTACCATATGATAGAAATATGGGGGATCAAAAGTTTAACATAAAACAAAGATTTTACACACGATAGTAAAACAAACACTAGTTAAATTTAATTAATATTTTCAACTTAGAGGGTTTTCTTTTGACATAACATGAATAGTACGAGTACACAGAATCGATAGCTAGGTACTCGTACAGGCGGAAATGACGATGATGATACTGATGTCGAGTTCTACATATATCATATACTTTTCTATAAATTAAAAAAAATCCTATAATTTTATATTAAAATAATAAAATTATCTATAAAAAATAATTTGAAAGCATCAGATGCGCGTAGACTACATCACTAGAGCGCCACCGGGGGGGTTGAGCAGTGTTAATAGCAGGCAGTTAGGGCTCTTTGTGCTACGTGTGAAGTGAGCACTAGGGCACACGAGGCCTGCTCCAGCGTGTCAAGCCTAAGCTGACACGCCGTGGCCCCCCAAACGCGACCGAGTCGGGCGCGCGGGGGGACTCTACGCCACTGGCCGCGGCTCTACATACACTGGCGGAGTGATCGCACGAAACCCGTTTACCGCGACCTACCCCGTTTCCTGCGAGCGCAGTACGGGCACACGCTGCCACTGCAATTGCCATCCGCGTCCAGAACTGTCCAAGCGAAAGTCGACAGTAGCCCGCGGACTTAGAGGCGATAACCACAACACGCGTTTCAGGCTGCAGCGCGTTACTGCACTGTCGGCTGTACCTAACGATATACATAGAGGCTAGCTGTAAGGTTGGCTGTACAAACGCAGTGCCGCCAGCGATTCCGGAGGAGGGAACGGGATTGTTCTTGGTCTAATTTGGTTTGGTTAGAGGACGGCGAATTTATCGAGAGCACTTTATACAGTTTACATAAATATTCCGTATACATTGACTGCAACGTGGGACGGTCTTACCTACGAGTAGGAAATATGCGGACGTTTTTTCTGATTCCAATGTATCAATTTGTTTACATGTAATAAGTATTTGAAATAATTTTTGTTTGAAATTGCATATATTTTTAAATTACAATAACTAAAAAACTATAAACGTAGAAGTTAAAATAACTGCTATTGCAAATGTAACCCAAGGTTGATTACATAAATTATCATAAAAGGATTTTATTTTCTTTATTGAGAATACATTTAAATTATATTTTGGCCAAAATTTTGGTTATCCGGATTGGAAATAAACAATTTACCAAAAAAGAGGTCTACCTGGTCTCGCACTTTAATCTTTTATGAAATCAAAATAAGACTACTAAACTCAAAATACATTGTTGCATGTGATTATAATAATTGAGAAACTGATGTCAACTGAGAGTTATTTTTTTTTATCTGTCGTGAACATTTTTTCATTATCATTAATTTATCAATATTAAAATGGCCATGAACCAAAAATGAGTAATGAGTTCAGTTAACAAAGGAATGATAAAATTTTTGAGATCACGTACGATTTTTAACAATCATGTATTACTGTAAATTGATGTTATTGTTTTGAAACCCCCAATATCCAATTATCCAATTATGTCAATTTGTATTAATAAACCGTTAGTCAGAAAAATCGATTGGCCTTAAGAATTGTTATTAGATAGAGCTCGTTAAACTGGCTGGAGATGCCAGTCCATCAATGTGTCTCGATGTCTCACCGATTGCAAAGAGCTTGCCAGTTATCTTGCGCGCTGCGAAGTAAATACGGCACAGCGGGCGAAGACGGGGTGGCGGGTGCCATCGGGGGCGGGCGGGGGATGGGGTGTATCTCGTGCCGCGAGAAAACGATAAAAAAACCAATTGGCATTCAGCCGGCGGCGACGAGCTTTGATGTCCCCTAAACAAAGTGATACATCCCGCTACACCGAGCACCTCCAACCTAGTTAAGCAGCGGCCGAATCCATGCACGCGGCTTTGGGCCTTATTAGTAACGGCCACCGCTACGTTTGCCGCTGCGAATTGTTTGCAGTAACCAAGGGTAACCGAATCATTCTCGGGCCTCACGAGACTTTCTTTAGCAAAGCGAAACTGTCTGATTAGGACGTGTGACTTAAAAAAATGGTTTTGTTAATTACAAACCGCACTTACACGCGACCGGGTCACTTAGTGACTGCTAAAAGTGCTAGGAATTTTTCCAATCTTGCGTTACTAAATAGAGTCATAAATAGAGTCAAAATAGAGTCATAATGAGAATACGTTGGAGATGAATAGGTTTATGGATCAAATATTCATTTCGTCTGAACAA